ATATTTCAGAGGAAAGTAGTTTTTTTTAATCTTCAACATTTATTTGACAGCTGTAGTTACTTTACAGGTTAAAACACTTCATATATAACATGTTACCATCTTAAAAAATATGATGCATTTTTACAGATCAAAATGAAGGTAAAATTTGCACCAGCTCAACTTGCTGCAACATTAAAATGCTGTTTACATGTTAATGCATAAAATAATAATAAAATATAACATATACAATAATGCCTATAATGCTAACCTCTGTATTGTGCTGTTCTGCATGACTACTGCAAATTTTGTTTCTTTATGTAGACATTTTGTTGTTCATACTTCTGTACTGTCTTTTAAAGTAGGAAATATACAAAGCTATTCAGCCCATTCTTACCATTATAAAACAAAACAATATCCCAAAAGCTCTTTGAGACACATAAAAGATGTTTAATAAACTGTGATCTTTTCACACAGAAGTGAAACATTTAGTCTAAATAAAGTCTTTTAACATGCCTGGAAATAGGGAAATGACTTCACATGAATAATACTCTCTAGTCTGAATATCAGGTTCATCATAAAACAAATTTTTTCTCACAGCCATTTTTAATTACTATGAACTCTTTACTCTTTATAATTATAGTCACCTCTGTGCTGCATGTTGAGACAAAGATCACTAGATTATAATGTAGCTGCTTCGCTGAAGACAGCTGTCAACTGACGTGTCTCAACAAAACCAACTGTAGTGTTTTTGCCCTGCAGCTATTTTTATTCTCTTGAGGGCTCAGTTTTTGGTTTCACACGCTACATTTACCTCAGTTTCTTCTTTTTTTATGTATCAAGTTCGCTATTTTCTTCCCTGGTGTATTTTGTTTAACCTGTAGAGTAGAATGTGTAACCTAATAGTTTTGTTTTATCATGTTTTATTGTCATTCCTGTTCCTTTGTGCTGGGACAAACTGTTAAACATTGATTAACAGATCTCTGTGTGTAATTCATGAACCTCTTATCTAGGAAGACTCTGAGATGTTGAGGGTGTTAGGGCAGATTGACTTAGACTCTATTGGTAGGTTAATTAGCCTGTCCAGGGTTTTCTGAGTCGTATTCACCTTTGTTGTCACTCAGACCCAGCCCACAATCCCCTCCTCTGAGTGTTGTTCCTCAGAGCGAGCTCCACAGCTTCATTGTGAACTTCTGTCTCCACTGCACAGTGGCTAAAAACTCATCTGAACCCGACACAGAACTGGACCTGAAAGATTTTTTTTTTCTTTTCACACCTACAGTTTGAGTCAAAATGAAGATCGCAGCCTTCAATGCAAAAAACCTGGGATGGAAAAAAGTCACAAACAAGACGGTGGTCCACTACCTCACCAAGGTAAGTGCTCAATTATAATGACTTTATTGACAATACACCACTGATAATAACAGTACGTTATTTACACAACACGTTGTGTTGCCTGTGTGTCCTGCAGATCATGTCTCAGTACACTGTGGTGGTGATACTGGAGGTGATGGATAAGAGTGGTAAGGCCATGCAGAAGTTACTTAAAGAGCTCAACAACAACAGGTGAGTTCTCTGCACTGTGCAACCTGTTATAAAGATAATGTCATGAAGAGGGAGAAGCTCTTTTTAATACTTCCATTTTCTGCAATTTAATTTTGTCTTCATACTATAATGAAGGGTGAAGTGCCTAAACATGCAGTTGATTTGTCACAGGTCTAGTATGAAGGATTTAGTGACATATATTGGCAGAAATTTAATATAATAAGTATGTTTTCTTTAGTGTGTGATCACCTGAAAATAAGAATCATTATGTTTTCTTCACCTAAGAATGAGCTAATTATATCTACATAGGGAGGGTCCTCGTCTACAGAGATCGCCATGTTGCACTGCCATGTTTCTACGGTAGCTCAGAACAAACAAACCAAACACTAGCTCTAGGTAGGGAGACTTGTCTTATCGCATTTTCATGTCAGCCACAGTCGTTAGAAGCCCCTCCACGATGAGCAACATTGGAAAAACACCAATTCTGACGGCTGAGAAACTGTTTTATTCAGTGTTTATACTGCTTTAAATCACTGGGTCATGAACATCTGGATCTGAAGTTATCACAGAAAAAATATGAGCACAGATCAGCAGGTGCTGGGCTAAAAGCCTGTCTCCGACATGCCAAATGGCATCAGAGAAACACTGATTTGTACCCTGAAACTGCTTTATTCAGTGTTTTACTGGTTTAAATCGCCTGGTCTGTTTGTTTTGGAGAGGAAGAGACCTCTGCCGATAATTCAGCTCCCTGTAAAAACCTCCTGAACACTGAAGGAATTCTAACCAGGACAAGTTTCAACTGGTTGCAATCTGCAATCCTCGCTGCTAGACGCCACTAAATCCCCTTAAATCTTACACACTGGACCTTCAATAAGATAAATATGGCAGACAAGGAGGTTCGATGTTGACAACTGTCACAGCCTGCATTCTGCTCCCCTTCTCTCCCTCACCTGCTCCTGGTAAATTTTTTAAATTTGCCAGCCAGCCACGCACTCTCTGCATATAAGCAGCTGCTGTCTTCCCCTCAGTGCCACATTGTTCTTGAGCCTCATGCAAGACTTTGCAGCACTTCTTACCTGCCTGCTCTCCTGTTACCGACCCTGCCTGCCTCTGACCTGTCTACTTCATCTGTTTCCTGGTAAACTCACCAGCCTTCTGTCCCCGACCACGAGTTCTGCCTTCGCGTCTGTGGTTTACGTCTGCCTGTGGCTGTGTGGTGTGGTTTTCCTTCCATGACGTTTCAGCGAGTGTTCCCACCTGCTTGTCAGTTGCCTGCTGCAGCTCAGAGGCTATCTGGGAGACACCACACACTGCCTTGTGTGTGTGTCCACCTTTCACTTACCTGTCTGCCGCTGAACCCAGAGACTGTGTGTGGGCTCTGAGCCCAAAGAATGAACTATTAATTGAATATCTTCGTCGGCTCAAGTTTCTGTTTATTCTGTGCTTAAATAAAGGTCATCAATCACACCCGTTACAGACGACAGCCCTTAATAAAAAACAGTTTGGATGTAACAAAGGACATACTGATGGTTCAGCCTTTACTTTCAGAGCCTCACCTGTCGTATAAAGTTTTGTTTGTGAGATGGAACTACGACATAAGACATGAAATTATTAAAATCATGATGAGTTTAGCAAATGAAATGGTAAACCAATCTGTTTATTGGACAGTTAGTTGCATGTGTTGATGCATGTGGAAAACTATAATGACAAGAGTTTACAGTTCTGAAGAAAAATTGAAAATCTGCCCAAGAGATTCCAGTATTTGTTGTGCACTTGTGGAACATGGTATCATGAGAGGAAAAGGCCGGGTTATACTGAAAAAGAACAACTATATGATTTTGTTTTTGTATTTATTTAATTCACTGCAAACTGTCACTCTTGAATAACCAAGTTATTTCTTTGTGGGCTCCATATCAGCCTGAGTGTAACAACAATGACTCCTACAAGCATTCTCTGATCTTTTATCCCTACTGTACAGATTTAGGTGACAGAAAATATTCAGGTGCTTGACATAACAAAGATCATGGTCATGGTTAAATGAACCAAACGGTGAGCGAGTGGTTGGGCGAGGGATGGCTAGTAAGCTGTGCCTAAATATATCCTCACAGAGATGCTGACGGGACAAAACCCAAACTGAATTATTACATATCTGAAACACACACTTCACGTAATTTAACTTTCATGTTTATCTGTTTTATTCAGCTCCAACAAAAACCGTCCCTACTCCATGACCGCCAGCTCCCGACTGGGACGAGACACCTACAAGGAGCGCTTTGTTTGTTTCTACAGGTAGGAGAGCTCAGGTGCACTGTCACTCCCAAATTAAAGCTATTATGCAGTATTATGATTCCAATGTGTGGGATTTACATACAGTTCGTGGTAGCACACAGACTCAGAAAGAGTGCATGGATTCATGTAGCATGCACAAAACACATCAGTGTCCTACAACATATGCTTGTGCTTATATCCTGTCTCGTGTGTGTGTGTGTCTCAGAGAGGATGATGTGAAACTGAAATCATGTCACCAGTATGAAGATAATCAGGTTGGAGATGTGGACGCCTTCGCCAGAGAGCCCTTCATCCTGCGCTTCAGGTGTCCATCTACAAGTATGTGTTATGTTTCTATAAGCATTGTATTTTTTAAAAAAAATATGTTTTAACTGTCTGGACCTGTGTATTACAGAGGTGAAAGATCTGGTTCTGATCCCGGTCCACACCAAACCAAAGGACTCTTTGAAGGAGCTGGACGAGCTGCATGACGTAGTTGATGCTGTCAGGAGAAAGTGGAGGACTAATGTAGGTTCACTTGTTTGACTCTTTTAGAGAGTGTCAAGTAAATCATATAGGTGAGGGTGTTTGTTGACTTCCCAACTCTGAATTTACTGCCTGACACAGATGAGCTGTTTGCCAATGGTTACACCATTTTACGATATTCAAATCCGATTTGGAAAACAATTTTAATGGACAACAGAAGTATTTAAAACATTGCAGCAAACACTGTTTTAACATTAATTTTAATGATAATTTTCTGTTAAACTTTAGTTAATATGACACAGAAATGTTTTCTGTCTTTACTGCATACGTTTTTAACTGTTCTGCTCTCTGACACTTCAGCCTTTTATCAGTTTATGACTGTTTCATATTTAAATAATTACAGATATGTTACTTATGCCTGGTGTGATAAAAAAAAATGCAAAGGCTGTTTTGTTTGTCCGTAATGTCTTTACGACCAAAGGCACATAATAAAGACTGAACAAAAATTTAAATACACTTGTTTTTGCTCCCATTTGTAGAGGTTTAAATTACAGATCTAACATTTTGCTGATAATACTTATGGACTTTTAATGAGTCATATGTCATGTGAGGAATATGTAAGCCAACTAACTTCATTTTTATATCTTTGGATATCCACAGTGGGGTTAGAGTAAAAAAAAAAAAATTTACATCGTAATTGTGGTTGTTTTGTTATTCTTTTGCAGAACATTATGATTTTAGGGGATTTTAATGCAGATGGACGTTATCTCTCCAAGAGGAAGAAGAAGAAGATCCGCATCTCCTCTGCTCCTTATCACTGGCTGATAAAGGATGATGTCGACACGACGACTAGCAACTGTAATGACCACACCTACGACAGGTAGATCACATCTCAGGGCTGTTATCTAAGTTGATTTTTGTCTTGTTTATTTGTTTTATAAGATTGTGATGCATGTCCTGCCAACAGGATCGTTGTGTACAGAAAGACCATGCTGGACGCCGTCGTCCCCGGCTCGGCCAAGCCCTTCAACTTCCAGAAAGAGTTCAACCTGACGGATGAACAAGTGAGACTCATGTTTGTGTTGATCAGCACATATTCAAACCTCTTCATCACGGATAGTTTTACTCTATTTTAAAGTGGATGTGTCATTATTCGAACTTTATTTGGTTTACCAGACTCTGAGTATCAGTGACCACTACCCTGTGGAGGTGGAGCTGAGGACCAATCAGAAAGCACCAGCACAAGGGCAGATGGCTCTGCCCCGCACAACAAAGACAACATCCATCAAAAGACGAACTCAGAAGAAAGGTAGGCTATCATTTGTTTACTGACATCAGGGACACATTTTGTTTTGCTTTCACCTTGTACTGTTTTATATAGGAGTAGAGTTATTAAATCAAAGGGTTTAATGCATCATAAATCTCACATTCTGACCACAATTCAACCATATTCCCATCTTTAATTGTTAATTTTTAATGGTTTTCAGCATGTCAAACTAGTGCACTGCAACGCATCAGTAGTTTACAGCAGTGATTTTGCTTTTCCAAAGTAACAATAACAGTCACAAGGAGAAGAGCAAGGCAACATGCTGTACATGTTTAGGTGTTTAAAGGATCATTTTTTCAAGTATATCTTAAAAACAGTCCTCCTTGTTGATTTAAATTTAACACAAACAGGAGCACAGAAGAAGAGGAGGGCGAAACCAGCAGGAGCAGAGAAGATCACAAAGGCAGAAAAGAAGAAGACAATGCCAGCAGCATTACAGAAGAAGAAATCTGAGTCAGCAGGAGCACAGAAGAAGACGAAGGCCAAGCCAGCAGCATTACAGAAGAAGAAGAAAACTGAGTCAGCAGGAGCACAGAAGAAGATGAAGGCCAAGCCTGCAGGAGCAGAGAAGAGGAAGAAGATTGAGGCGGCAGGAGCAGAGAAGAAGATGAAGGCCAAGCCAGCAGGAGCAGAGAAGAAGAAGAAGACTGAGGCAGCAGGAGCAGAGAAGAAGAAGAAGAAGAAGAAGACTGAGGCAGCAGGAGCAGAGAAGAAGAAGGCGAAGGCCAAGCCAGCAGGAGCAGAGAAGAAGAAGAAGACTGAGGCAGCAGGAGCAGAGAAGAAGGTGAAGGCCAAGCCAGCAGGAGCAGAGAAGAAAAAGAAGACTGAGGCAGCAGGAGCAAAGAAGAAGAAGGCGAAGGCCAAGCCAGCAGGAGCAGAGAAGAAGAAGAAGACTGAGGCAGCAGGAGCAGAGAAGAAGGCGAAGGCCAAGCCAGCAGGAGCAGAGAAGAAGAAGAAGAAGACGGAGGCAGCAGGAGCAGAGAAGAAGAAGGCGAAGGCCAAGCCAGCAGGAGCAGAGAAGAAGAAGAAGAAGACTGAGGCAGCAGGAGCAGAGAAGAAGAAGGCGAAGGCCAAGCCAGCAGGAGCAGAGAAGAAGAAGAAGACTGAGGCAGCAAGAGCAGAGAAGAAGAAGAAGGCTGAGGCGGCAGCATTACAAAAAACAAAGAATATGGCAGGAAAAAGGACGAGAGGACCGTCATCAGACACACCAGCCAAAAGAAGACGTTTGGAAAAATGTCAGTCAAACAGACTTTCAACATCTTGCCTCACTCAATAATTTTAAAGTGATTTTAGAATCTGTCACTTTGACTGATCAGGATACTGTGAGTCATATTACTTTCATCAGCAGACAAAGATAGTCTCCAGCTGTACACATCACCAGCTTTGAACTGATGATTGACATTCTTGAATTTCTTTGTGTGTGCATAATGTCACAAGAACAACAAAAACCTTGCATTATATATGACAACTGTATGTTAATGTCATATGATTTTAGGTAATGTTCAAGTTTCATTCGTTATATTTTTATGTTTTATTTGCCCTCTATATATTTTCACTCTTTCCAACTTTGTTTTGCAGCTGCTGCACAACAGTTTACCTCAGGATAAAAAAAGTGTTGCCTTACAACCTTCGAGGTCTACGAACCGGAACTTTAAATAAAGTTTATTGCAAGTAAAATGACAGTGTGTGGAAATTCTCTTCTCTTCACCTGTGTACAGTTTCCTCTGCACCTGTCTACAAGTTACTGAAGGTGGGCATGAGTCTAATAGACCTAGCCTGGAAATTCAGACTCAAGTCTAGGAAGATTTTGAATCTGGCCCTCGCCGATACACCCTTCCTACCCAAGGGCGGCACTAACTGAGGCATATAAATGCCGCCGAACGCAATTGGATAGCACGATAGCCAATCAGAGCAAAAAACAAGGTGACGTAATCATTGCAGTAAGCCCCATTTGTTTGGCGACCAGTGGGGCAAACTGATATATAATGCTTTTGCTGTATCCTGTCGGCAAAACGGCAAAAACGTCCTTCCTGGAAGTGAAGGCTTCTAGGGAAGTCTTCTGTTCCTCACTCAAGGAAAAAGATAAGTGTAGTTGGCTTAGCGTTTCTTCCAAAACTAAATTGAATGGATGCGGTCCTTCGGCAGCTGCCATCTTGGCTGTTTACTTTTAGACTCTTACTGCGCAGCGCTGTCGTCATCATGTTACGCCTGCCCAGAGTAAATGTACTCATCTAATTGGGAGTAATTGGGAGTAAATGTACTCATCTAATTTGCATATTGTGATGTCACTAGGTGGTGTCACTAGACTAAATTTTGAACATATTTACCCAGTAGATTTTTGTTTGTCGTTGTCTTTTTTGTTTTTGTTATCTCATCCCCAAAATAAAGGAACAGGAATCAGTAAAAGGTAAAACGGGCAGTGATAAAATGTAGTTTTCTAGTAGCCCATCAGCCAAGTAGCACAGAAGCCTGATCAGTCTATCTATCAAGATGGCATTGTTTGTAGTTTTTCAGTGTGGTATCTCTCATTGCAAGGCACAGCACACAGACCAGCTCCACATTGACTGCACCTGAACTGTGTCTGGCGACAGCCTTTAGGACGAGTGCGATCTGAACAAACCACACAATCTGGAAGATCATCAGTATTGTGGAGCCAGTGGTGCTCAGTGAGCCTCTGTGGCATTTCTCCCCTTTCCATTGAAGGCCTTCCTCCTTTTCTGCCTTCCTTCTTAGAGTAGCCCTCAAGCAAGCCGGTTACAACGTCCTGATTGAAGGCCTTCAGTGGTTTGTATGAACCAGGACTACACTGGCTGTAAATGATGTGGGCATTGACCACACTGATGCCAAGAACCGCACTGAAAATGTGGTTGTACCATTTCCTGGATCGGTGTGGAAAGAGGTACGTTTTCATTAACCCAGGGTTCTAGTGTCAAAGTCCTACTTATGAAGCCTACACAGAATTTGAATGAAGGTGGCAAATACATTACCACAGCAATATAAATAACAAAGCAGTTTGGGAACATAATAATATGCCTTCTAGGGTTGCTGTTTGTGGAGGACCTGAGTGAACCACAGAATGTTTCGGGTGTTGTGAGTGAACAGGGCTTTTGTCTGTTGTGTCCCAAACATGAAGCTGCAACTGTGAGATTAAAGATGACTGTGAGCCCACCACCTTTGTCCACACTAAAATATCTCAATCATTATCAGTTGGATTGCCATAAAATGTTGTGCAGACGGGGGCATATATAAGGTGCTGTTTGTGCATGTGTGTGTATTTCGGGCCTGTGTGTATATATGACGAATTAATAAAGCCTCCTCTGACTTTTTCCATTAATCTCTGTGTGGTTTTTGTGTCTGTGTTCCTAACGTAGACACAGCCAACCTGGTAAAGGCTGATCTGGAGGATAAAGTGGGAGCTCTGACTGATGAAATCAACTTCCTCCACAACGTCTCTGGGGAGGGATGGACATTTTGGGAACTGCCCATTGGTTCGACAGCCCATTGATCCGACCATATTAAACCCATTGTTCCGAAGTCCGTTCCGAAATCATCATGATGTCCTGTGGTTAAGGTCTGGTGAGGTTTAGGCACAAAAACCACTTGGTTAGGGTCAGGAAAAGATCATGGTGTGGGTTAAAATGAAAAAGAAAGTGACAAACACATAAGCCGTGAGCCTGCTCCGCCTCAAGCCGGTCGCGACGCACCATACACTCGCCGCGAGCCGTTCAGCACCGCGGACAGTCGGACTAATGGGCTGTCGAACCAATGGGCTGTCGAACCAATGACATGGACCCGGACATTTTTTAGGCTTTAAAACATTTTTTAATTATGAAAACGGATCAGAATGATCAAATGTCTCTGTCATCTCCCTGTATTTCGCTCCAGTTATTTCCCTCCAACTGTCACACTTTCCTTTGGGTCATTGTTCTGCTTCCGTCTCATGACTCATTGGAGACTCAACATCAAACAGTACTGCTTCTGGAAGTTATCTTTTTATACCAGCCAAAGGAAATCTTTTTTCTTTTGTTGTTGTTGTTACTTATTGTCAGTCTCCCTGGAGCCGACCAAAAACAGTTCAACACCGGAAAAAATATTTATATTATCCACTGAAGAGCTTAACACACTGCAGCTTCACAGAAACACGTCTGGACATGTAACTTGGTGATGAGCTAAAAATAATCATTTAGTTTTAATGTGTGATTGCATATTGCTGGAGACACTGGTTAAATATGTCAGATTGTGCTTTCACTAAATACTACTGTGTTCATCATGTATGTTTTCAGTTTGTTTAATATGTTTAATTTCCCTGTGTGATTTATTTGAGACATTTTGTATTTTTATGTGTTTAATTAAGTTGCTGTGGGTTGACCTTTCTTAAAGGAAATGGCCACTTTAGAATGAAAATACAGACAGTACTTACTGACCCTCATGCCGACAAGAAGTCCAGTGTAGTTTTTTAATCCACAAAACTCGCTCGGGGCATCGGAGGATAACAGCTAGCCGGAATAACAGCTACACTTGAAGTGCATGGAACCCACATTTTGAAAATGTAACAAAACTCCGCTAATGCATTTCAAAAACTTCTACAGTAATCCAAGTCTGAGTTTTGTGAATTAAAAAACTACACTGGACTTCTTGGCATGAGGGTCAGTAAGTACTGTCTGTATTTTCATTCTGAAGCGGTCATTTCCTTTAACCACCATGCCTTTTATCATACCTCTGACTGGAGCTGCAACAATTAGCTGATTAATCCGTCTACAGAAAATGAATACTAACTTATTAATTATCAAAGTAATTTAAAAAAAAAAAAAGTCAAACATTTGATGGTTCCAGTTTGTCAAATGTGATAATATGCAACCAAGCATCAGAAAAAATGTACGTTTCTACAAACCACAGATACGTAACATTTCGTCGCTGTCTGATGAAAAACACTCTCCACTTTTGATGGTTTTGACTTTCTAAGCCCTTTGATGGACACTTCTGACACCCAATAAAGTAATAAGTAATAAAACGTCTTTCCATTGGTCATTTGGATACCCAATGCTAACGGTTGCTAGGGAATATTATAGACACTCCGTGCACTGTAGAAAGTCAAAATCGTCAAAAGTAGAGATACGTGGTTTTCATCGGACAGCAATGATTTGCATGTCATTAGCAAATACGCTTAAACTTTACATTTCAATAAAGCTGTGCCCCGTATGGGGGGCACAATCTCTACTGGAAATGTGGCGATGTCCTGGTAACAAAACAACCACTCTTAGTGCCTAAAACGCAGCTGAAAAAACAGCAATGACTAGTTAAATCACAACTAGTTCTGTTGGTTGTTGGTCTCAAATAGAGATCTGCAGCTTGGCATTGGTCTCGCCTCGGTGTAACACCATCTACCATCTACCATCCCATTCAACTTCAGAGGGCAAAGTCAGTTCATACACAAAGCTACTTTAGAAATGTTACGCATGACACGTACAAATGAAACATATCATACATTTTATTCTGCCGACTGGACTTTTTGGTGCCTCAACATATTTTACATTGAAGTAATCAGATTATTTTGGAGTTTTGCACCGTTAATTGTACAAAACAAAATCTGAGGATGGCGCTTCGAAGTAAGATGAATAAAATCATAACTGGCAAATTGAAAAGTTATGACAATAATGCTTGACTAGGTAATTTCAAGATTAAAGTTAACTGCAGAAATGTTAAGTGACAGCATTAAGAGTATCTGCAGTGCTGATCGCAAATTGAATTATAATAAATGTTAACTCCAAATAGTGGCATTGCATGAAACATGAAGCCACAATTTTATATATTTCATGATCTTAAAATTATGTTTTGAGGCTCTTGAATGAGTTCCAGATGAATCTATGGGGACAAAAGAGATTTAATAGTCTCTTGTTCCTTTTGTTCATTGTTATAATGCAGTAAGACCTAACACATGTTTGAAAAATCAGACAACTAGTGAACTGAAACTGTCAATTTACAGTTTAAATGTGACATCGTAATCAACATATCCTTGTTACTGTTGACAGAACCACACAATAATTTCCAATTTAAAACTGAATTTAAAAACAAAACAAAACATACATATATTTGAACTTATTTGATCCTGTTTATCCAAAATATAATTTATATTTGGCTCATCACATGTGGACACACAGGAAGTCTCACTTGTGTTTTTTTTTGCTGCACCAGGAGCTGCGTGAGCTGCAGACGAGCATCAAAGACACCTCAGTTCTAAGACAGGACAGTCTACTAAAGTCTACTTTATTCCAATGACTGACATTTCTTGACAATTTAAAATTAGATTTAAGGGAACAGAGTGTATGATTTGGGGAGATTTTAGCACCTAGCAGTGAGGATTGCAGATTGCAAGCAGCTTACACTTGTCCAGGTTAGAATTCAGTGTTCAGGAGGTTTGAACCTAGAGCTGAATTATCCACAGAGGTCTCTTCCTCTCCAGAACAAACAGACCAGGGCCCGTAGTCACAAACTTAGACTAAAAACTTTTAGTAAGGAGTCGTAGTTTAGGAGTGATTTAGGAAAGTTCTTAGAGCAACTCTGAGCAAAGAAGGGACAGAAACTTTTATCTTACTGGGTGGGTGTGGTTGACCCTGCTGCTAGGTGTGATGCTTTCTTTTAACAGACGTGATTGGTTGTCACAGACACACTGTACCCTTTTG